ACTTCATTAAGAAAACTCAACATTCATTTTGTTTATAAGAAGGATCCAACTGTTTTTTTTTATGTGAATAACATTGGTTTCATTAAGGAACTGCAACATTCATCACATTTATTAAAAAAGATCTAACTTACTTTGTGAAATGTTTTTTCAAAAATGAAGAAAAAAGTTTACAAGATGGTTAATATGTTGTACTTACAGAACTTCCCCTTAAATATATATGTGGTCATGCTAGTCTGATGTGTTTATATCTTGTGGCAAAAAACTTCCAGTTCACACTTTGGGTTTGTGTAATTTGTACTAATGAATGCACATGCAAAAGAAATATTAAAAAATGATTTTATAACATTTGTTCACAGTAGTTGTCTCACACCCCCCTTCTTTTCCAGTTGAACAGTGGATGACATTATTGTGAACGTGTGCTTTTCCTTATAATTTTGTCTGGTCAGAAGTGGGATATTTGTTCATATGTAGTGGAAACTACTGAGAATATTATCAACAATGATTTTAATAACACAGAATTTAAGGACAACAAGGGACCTGTTGGTCCATCTAGTCGGTCCAATCTGCTAAACTTAGAAAAAAAGGATAACACTCAAACTAGACTTTACCATTTAGATATTTATCAAACCTTCCATTAACCCTTTCCAGATGGATCATGGGTGAAAGGCCATGTCATCACATTTGTTGACTCGCATTCAAAATTTTATTGAACTACTATTTCATGAAGTTATATCAATAAGTTTGGTATCAAACATAGATTATAATTCAAGTTTTAGCATTATACATTACTCAATTTCTTAATTTGAAATTAAATATTAAAAAACACAGTTAAACATAGATTTTGTTGATATGTCGCGTAGTATGTTGAATGTGGCACTGGTTCAAATTAGATGTGAAAATACTAAGTCTGTAGATTCATACGAATTAGGAACTCAAATTATCAGTATTGACAAGCTGGAATATGAAATAAGAACCTCTTATCTTTTCTATTTGTTAAAATATTGCTCATGTAATAAATCAAGTACAGTGGCACCCCACCCACTTCTTTCCAATTTTGCAAATGCTACATATATACACTTACTTCTATATATGAAATGAATAACCAATTAAAATCTCAGATTGTTTCCTTAGTGGCTTTATTATCCAATTTATATTCTTGGATGCCATCTCTTTCTTTCGAACCAAGATTTCAAGGAGGTAGGTTGTGTCTTTAATCTGCTCTAAATTTAATATTTTTTTTAGACTGAAATACTGCATAGTTATTAAGCTTGATAAATTATAGTAGAATTCTATGGTATTGGTATAGTAATTTATGAATTTTTGTTTATTAAACTATACATATAAAACCTAAGAAAAATTATTTTGTTTCATATCTTCCACTTGCAAAACTTGAAAAGGCTTAGCAACCTACATCATGCAGCAACAGGGTACAAAAGTCATAACTAGAAGAGATAATTGTTGACTTTACTTCTTTATTTACTGAACGAGTTAGCTTTTACCAGTAGTGGGACAGGATGGCCAAGCATAATATTAAAACAAATAATAGGCTTGGTCAGATAATTCTTTTACAAGTTAAGAGTAAAATTCTTTGCTTCTCCCCAAAGAAGTTGCTTTTCTCCTCTATATCACAAGTGCCTCCAAAATGTTTTGCAACTGATTGTAAAAGGTTTAAAACTCTTCATTTTTCTACTTGAAAAAATTCTTTTTAACTATAGAAATCATTATCTACCTTTTTTGATTGTGCAGAGAACTATGATTGGCAGTGATGGATTTAGTGTATATTCTATGTATTATAAGCATCATTTACGGTAGGTTTGGTGAGATTAAGGGGATTTTATGAAAGGTCAGGTTCAGTTAGTATTTAGCTCACCTTGTTGCAACTAATAATATTTAATATTCCAAAACAGTTATAATAAGGACTGTAAATTGCTTTCATGCTGGTGATGTACTTATTTTCATTTGACAGTGTACAAGATGGCCACGTAGCTATCGTTCAAACATAGAGCTGGGTAATTGGCAATATTGGACTTTTAAAAAGGTTTAAATGGGATTCATATTGTTGAAGATGAAGACATGACTTTAGTGTTAAACAACTTGTTTTGCTAATGTTTTAAGTAAAGATGATAATATAATTAGATGCCTAATTTCTTTATACGTTTAAGAGGGAAGAGTAATATTATTATTATTCATAATCATATTTTAGAAAAACTTGAAAATCTTATTATTGATAGTAAAGTCCTAGCTCTGCTGATTTTTAAATTTATAAATAGGTTAAGTAATAAGTTAGTTAGGGTTTTTTATCTCTCATTGCAATTGCTCATGTGTGATATAATATTTGTTTTAGCCTTTAAAAGTGGGATATTAACTACATCTGAGCTTGTTACTTTGTACCACACGAAGAAGAGGTATTCCCCTTTATACTTCCCATAGTTTATAAGTTTCAGATGAGTAATGAAATATTAAAATATGTGTCTTTTGTTTTTTTATTATGTATTTAAAAATTAACTTGGCATTGGGAAAGTTACTTATCTTTAAATATGGAAGTTAGAGTTTGATATCCTTTAGAAGTCTGGAGCTACCAGGGGAATGCATAATGATTGGAAGGTAACCTGTATAAAACTACCTTTAATAATGATACCCTGGAAATTACTATTGTCAGGTTTTGTCGAGACAGGTCACAGTTGAAAGGTCATGTCATCTTGTTTGTTGACTTTCATTCAAAATTTTATTGAACTATTATTTCATGAATTTATGTCAATAACTTTGGTATTAAACTGTAAATTATAATTCAAATTTTAATACTATGTATTACTCAATTTCTTAATTTAAAGCAAATATTAAAAAACATGTGGTGTTGAATGCAGCACTGGTTCAAATTAGATGATTGTGATGTCAAAATACCAAGTCTATAGTTTTGTATGTTTTAAATTTGCCAAGATATTGCTCATGTAATATATTGAACACAGTGGCACCCTGCCCACCTCTTTTCATTTGTGGAAATGCTCCCTTATATACATTTACTTCTATATATGACATGAATAACCAATTAGAAGCTAAGAATGTCCCCCTAGTGGCTCTCTCAGTGATATTAATGGTATTGGCACCATTTCTTTCTTTTGAACCAATATTTCAACGAGGTAGGGTGTGTCTTTAGTCTGCTCAATTTAATATTTTTTTATACTAAAATCTATATTAGTTACCAAGTTTGATAAATTATAGTGGAATTCTATGGCATTAATGTAGTAATTTATGATTTTTTAGTTATTCAAATGTATATATAAAACTTTAAAAATTTTTTGTTTCATATCCTCCACTTGTAAATTTTTTAAAGACTTAGCAACCTACATCAAGCAACAACTGAGTACAAAGGTCTTAACTAGAAGAGATAATTGTTTGCTTTACTCCTTTAGTTATTGTTCTATGTTTTAAGAAAAATAAGTTTAAGAACTTATTTCAAAATAGCAAAAATCTGTATATATAATGTATAATAATTGAAATGTGACTATTTTACAAAATACCAATCTACTAAAACACAGCCAAGACAAGTTACTTTGTATGGAACAAAGGTCAGTTTTATTTTATTTGATACAGTAACATGAGTGCACGTGAGCCACGTCATTGTAACTTCTGTATTGTTAGCCAGGCATGGCTGAAAGGTCAGTATAATAAAGAATAATATATATATAAATAAATGGATAATGTTATGAGATTTAAGATATTTAATCTAAACAGTTATGTTTTCGTGTTATAATTTGTGTTCATTCATGAAAAGAGGCAAGATTTATATTTATTTCCTAATTTTTTATGGTGGTTGCAAGATTGGTCAAATCTACTGAACCCACACAGAGATTAATTACTGAAAATAATGGATAAAATATAAAGTTTTTTCTTAAGAAATGTTTGGTAACTATCTGGACATTATAAAGATTTAGCATGTGAAATTTGAAAATTTACTGATGCATAAAAGTATTTTTGATTTTAAAATAAACATTACTTTGCATGATAGATAGGCAACATGTGAACAGAAAAAAAAACATGAGAAACCACTGCATTACAAACTTTAAGACTTAATAAAAAAAATTTATGTTTGAAAGCATTGTAATGTTTTCTGATAATCTGCCAAATTTTGTTAACATATGCTTACTAATTTAAAAGTTATAGCATGAAAACTATAACAAACAGAAAATGGTTACGAGGTTGGTCCCAGGGACCAAGCCTGTGCTGAAAGAGTTAAGACAGTTACACTTTTTTCAAAAAAAAATTCTTAACTGGAACCTAGTCTGTTTTTCCCAAATCTTTATCTTTTGTTCTTTCATCCTATTGGTTTCAGATTTATAGCACAAAGAAATCAGAGGTTTTTATCCTGTTGATTTACTGGTTAATCTTGTAAACTTTAGTAAGATAACCTCTTACTTTTCTTTTCTCAGTGGAAAATAAGAGATCTTAACCTATCCGTATCAGATAACCCTTTCACCCTTGGAATAATCCCAGTAGTCCTCTGAATCCTTTTCTTTTTTAGATAAGGAGACTGAAACTCTACCAAATATTATAACAAATTATTTGCATAAAGAGATAATTACCTCTTTTACATTACAGAATATTAGAGAGATGGTTGATGAAAACATAGGATGAAAACAAAAAAAGACAAATTGAACATGTGTACACGTTTTCACTATTTAATGCACAAAGCAGTATTACAAAAGGAATTAGTTAGCTTCACTACTAGCAACAGAGCAGTAGAAGCCAGTACTTCACAGGATTTGAAGAGCAGAAACCATGGTTTCCTTTAAAATATAGGATTGGTTTAAATTTTTATCTTCCTGAAGGGTTGGTGTGCAAGGACAGCCTTGAAGATCAAATGGCACATTTCTGTCTGTAGATTATGTTATGACACAGTAAAGCCTGCCAATCACAGCAGGTTTTTGAGAACTGGCTAAGGTTCTAAAAGTTTCATTAGGAGAAAATGAAACTACTTTCACATCAGTGATAACTCCTCCATCTCGGGAATCATTCTAATAATAATAATAATTGAACATTTCCAATAATGTAACATCCTTTCTTACATAAAATGATTAAAAGTATAACATTTTAAAAACAATGTTTAATTATAATTTAATTTTTGTTTTTATTTTATTGCTTGATGAGTGTGCGTTCTATCGTTTTTAGGAAGGCAAAAAACAGAGCCAATTGTGAACTTCTTTTGTGGGCTTAGTGATACCTGTATTGAAAAGAAATGACAGATCTGTAAGTATGATATCTATGTATGAGAGACGTATATTTTTGCATTTTTGTAATTTAATAGAAATATTTGAATTTTTGCCAATATCTATTATTTTATAATGAAGAAATTTCATAAACAATTTTATAAGTAAATTAAGAGGAATCTACTTTCCAAGCCATTGTAAAAAAAATGAAAAGAATTGAGTAAATAATAAAATTATGAAAGGGACTTTTGAAAATAATATGCAAAATAATATTTTTTTAAAATACATTTGAAGGTCATTGGATTACCAAATGTATATGTACGAAAAATAAATCTGCAGTTTGAAAAAGACATAAAAAATAGAAATGAAAAATAAATGAGGCTGGAAAATTTTTTAAATTAGTTTGAACAATTTTCATCATGTAATATACAAATGTACAATTTATGCTAGTATTTAGTATAGCTTGATGAACTAAAATGTGTTCTGTAGAACAAATATCTCCCAGTAATGCTGTGTTTACATTTATACTGATGTTTGTTGAGTGAATCATGAAACAAAGCTTTGTAATTTTTTAAATATGTGCCATTATTTTGGTACATTTAATACTTATAGATAAAGTAATTGCTTATGTGAATACTTGACACTGGTAACTTGTGTTTTTTCTTGCACACTACTATGACTTGTTAGGATTATGAAACACTGACTGGTTACGAATGTTAATCTTTGTAGAATCCATAATGTTATTACTTTACACACACTTTAACATGACAAGTCATTTCATTATATAGAAACATCAAATTAATTTCATAGATATCTAAGCTGTAACTAATAAATATTCAAACAGTAGCATTACTATCATTATAAACAAAATAGGTAATTAACCATTGGGAATTCATAGAAATGTCAATTCAAATTTGTCCTAAGTGAAACTATCTTTCTTCAGACATTTACCTATTAATCTCCAGTATTTATATTTGACTTGCATATACAAACAGGTGTGATGCAGTAAAGAAAAGTATTCCAACTGTATTCTGTGTACTTCAGATACGATTAATGAACAGGAAGCAGAAAGGAAAATGTAAAATTTAAAAATAAGTATTTGAGAGATGTTTTGAAATTAATTTCAGTTTGTTAATCTCAGTATTGAATGATAGTCTTCATTACAACCTAACAACAGAAATTATTTAAAACATGACTGATTTTTCAAAAGTTTATGCTTTGTCTCCAGTTCCTTCCCTCGTTTAGTTGAATAAATAACAAAAAATTACACCTCAGATAAATTTGTTTGAATGCTTGATCTGATGTAAGCAAGGTGACATTTGCTGGAATTTTTTTTGTGATTTTGAAATTGTATGTTAGAAAAGTCAGTTTTGAGGGTGAGATATAAAGAATACTTTAGATTTAACTGTAAAGGAAATAGATTAATTACTTTTAATTTGCTAACATAGAATGTTTAAAACTTAGGAGCTTTCACTACTGTTAATTCTGGTGGCCCCCAAATTCCTAGCTTTTCATAGCTGTGTCAATTACTGTAGAAAGTTTCTGAATAGAACCCTGTAAGGATAACCGATAATATTTAGTCAGTCAATTTTTTAATGCCTTTCATTCAGTTTTTGTATCTTCATTAATGCTCATCAACTTTGGCCAGTATTTATTTTGTGTGCATTTTGTTGTTTACACTATTTGTAAATTCTGGGAAAGAGCTAAGTTATCAAAATCTTTTATTTATGAAAGGAGATGTTGAAATGTAAATGTTAACAGCTTGTATGACTATGTCATGTGCATAATTACAGCAACTGCTAAAGAGGCATGAGAGAATATTTAAACATACTTTTTTAACATTCTAGGTAACCCTTCACTGCCAGCATCAAATTGATTAACTTTCATTGAGGTCTGGTCAAACTGGCCATATCATGATTAGATCTGGGTGATTTAACACTGTAGGAACAATATTAGTGTTTTGTATAAACCTTGTTTCTATAAATATATATGTAGTAATGTTAATTCCAATACATATATACCTCCTCTCACACTTATAGCTATTACTTGACTATCAGGGTTTTTTCTTTTGCCCTTCCAAGCATTGGTCTGATTTTTTCTCACTTGCTCCAGTTTTTTATACACCACTTAATTGCCTTCAGTGGTATTTGTCTCGTGACACTCTGCACCTACATCAGTGCACCTTCTGTCATCGTACTGTATATAAGCACCTTATTCAGATAATGTTATCACTTTTTCTTGTCACTAATGGGTTTCCTAACATTACAATCAATCGGAGATACTTTGACCATTATCTAGTTGATTTACATAATAGTAATTTATACAATAAATAAAAAAAACAACTTATTCTGCTTGGCAAGCTGCTTTACGGCATGAAATTCTGGATTATTATTTCTGATACAGAGGCAAATCAGGTCTTTCCTATCCCACCTCTGATATTTAGCTTCGCAACAAAATCTGGAGGGGGGTCACTGTCTGTGATTTTGTTCGCAGTGAGATGGAGACATATATTTGGGTGTGTGGTGGTTCTCTGGGGGGGAGCTCTGAGACCACAATTGAGGGCAATCCTTCACATACTGGAGAGAATTTAGATTTACTTTTTTTTGTGTGTGCCATCTTTTAGTCTGTGGGACAGTTTTGAGTTTGCAGACTCTTAGCATTTCGGGGCCGAGGTTCAATTCCCTCAGGTAGATGTGTCTGATGGCCCAACATTGCTTTTCTCTAACAGAACAACCTTATCTCACAAAAGGTTGTTCCAATCAACACACTCTTTAAAGGAAAATGAAAAAGAAAAAAAAGGGTACTTTGGGATAAGTTACCTCTGATTTGTTTTTTTCTGTTGGTTCTTCGAGAGTGTGATGTTTTGGGCTTTTTCCAGGTTGCTTTGAACCTACTCCTTACTTGATGATTGAAAGGTCTGGAAGCACATTTTTAGTTTTTCTCTCCATCCATAGATATTGTGGCTCATGCTGTGAGGTTTACTTCTCATTTGTATGAAGGGACAGTTTTGCTTTATCCGACACGTTGTCAGAACTTCATGATTTTAGCCTACCACACCAGATGGAAGCATTTTCCGATTCTCAAATAATGCTTCTGCTCCTCAATTTTCATGGTTCTAAGGTGGAGTTTGTAATTAACCTGAGTAAATCTGTATCTCCTGATGGGACAGTGTAAGTATATGGTCTTCCAACTCTTAAAATCTACAATTTTGTTTTCCTTTCACTTCGTTGGAAGACTTTCAGGATCACCAACTTCATTGCTGATGAGCTGGATCCCTTGTTAGCATACCAGTTCAATTTTTGGCTTCTACATTCCTCCCTGTTGTCGTTGGTGTCTCAAACTTCATTGGCTCCAACAGGGAGTTGTAATTCTGCCCCTATTCATGGGTCTCGCCAGACATCAGCCTCTTGGTAGAATGGTACCAAGAATAGATTCTGTTTATATCCAAGGGTTTTGCTGCTTGGCCTGATCACGAGCGGCATCGGTTATTATTGTATACCTTCAGGGACTGTGGGAGCTTGGCTCCAAGAATTTCTGGTCGTGTGGTAACCTTGACCACGGATCCAGAAGCACTGCAGGTCCTTAAATCAGAATTTGTCATTCAGTTCATATCTTCACATCTATACACCTGGAAAAAAGTTAAGCACCCCCAAATATTTTTCAGGATTGCTTATTGAA